CGATTATTAGGTAAAATATAGGAGGTACCGCAAACAGTTTAATATAAAAGTTATCGGGTTTATAAATATCTATTAGCGGGTAATAAATGTATGTATACAGGGTCGGTCATAAAGTCGTGGCACATCAAAGTTTCATTTTTTTAAACGAAACCCCCTGTATATTATTGCACATTTCGGTTCTACCTTCAATTCTAAGCAAAATTCGAAATACACACAATGTACCTCATACCAACCGTTTCCGAGTTATTGACTTTTGAAAAAATCACTTAAACAAAATGATTTAATTAATTTCAATATCTTCAGTTTCATTTAACGATGCCATTTTGCCGAAACTGTGATACTTAATAATATTTGACATTAGTTCTCAAGTTAGCATTTATATATGTATCAAATGAGAGTATAGCAAGTCTGGAAATTACAAAATTTTCGTTTAACATTTCAATTCTTCAATTTGTACATTGTGTATTACGATTATTGCTTAAAATTGAAGGAAGAATTGAAATATGCAATAATATACAGGGGGCTTCATTAAAAAAAAAGTTTGATGTGACACAACTTTATGACCGACTCTGTATACTTAAATTTACTAGTAGCTAGTAGGTAATAGGAATTTAAAAACCCATTACAACAGAATCACAGTTTCGGCAGAATGCCATCATTAAATCAAACCAAACACACCGAAATTAATTAAATCGAATTGTTTAATTAAGTGATATTTCTAAAAGTCAATAACTCGGAAACGGTTGATTTGAGGTACGTTGTGTATATTTCGATTTTTGCTTAGAAATGAAGGAAGAATTGAAATATGTAATAATATATAGGGGTTCTATTTAAATAAATGAAACTTTGATGTGCCACGACTTTATGAACGACTCTGTATACTTAAATTTATTACTCACTAATAGATATTTAAAAATCCTATAACTTTTGTAATTAAATAAAATTAAAATAAAAAGTACCAATGTAATTTGAAAATCGTATCATTGTATCTCTACTCATAAACGAGAAATTCCATAAAACACATGAAAATAGGATACCCTGTACAGATGCGATGCGTAGTAGTGAACCGCAGTAGTCTACCGGCAGCCGGATGGCCAGCACTTTGGCCAGGAGAGCACAGGAGGCATAGCAAAAGAAATATTAAAGAACCAGCTTTCTTAAAATCCTCGTTTTCCCGACGTTGCTAGCTCTTGTTCTATTATATTTTTATTAAGAAATTTGTTAAAAAAGTGTCAAAACGTCCGTTATCGTACGATCTTTCTCGAAAGTGGTGCGAAAACGTTATGACTAATCAGAGCTCCATCGGACCATCGTATCAACGGATAACGGATGCATGGAAATCAAGCTTGAGTCGTTCTAATAAATCCCGATAGGATTTAATCTTCAGGACCGATGTCCAAGCTGATGCCTCATTTTTAGAAGGTGCCGCGTACATTATTAAAGAAAGTACAGCTGTTGTTTGTATCCTTCGCTTTGTTGCTCTTGGACCTCCGATATTTGGAGTCTACTTAACTTATTAACGGCTACAAGTGGCTTCGACTCTGTAAACAGAGATGCACTTTGGGCAATTATGCAGAAGATTCGTGTACCCAACAAATTTCTTACTGTGTGTAAAAACCTCCATAACAACAAGTAAAGAGTGTCACATCATGGATCACTGAGCGATCCCTTCCTGACAAATACAGGAGTTAGGCAGGGATGTGTCCTAGCTCCTCTCCTATTCAACATATTCATGGCAGCGCTCTCTATTATAGTGGACAGCAAACTGCAGGAAAGAGGAATGGGTGTTAGATACAGGTATGACGGCGCGGTGTGTTCAACCTAAAAAGACTCAGGGCAAAAATACGTATAAAATTCATCACAGAACTCCAATACGCTGATGACTGCGCTCTAGTTACAAATACGTTACAGCAATTACAGGAAATGCTGAACACATGTATCTGGGCATACGAGACTTTGGGCCTTAAGCTAAACATCGACAAAACTAAAATCATCCCATGTAGCATTTTCACGACTTGCGACCACATGTTTACTAAACACGACGTTGGATTAGGTACAAAATATAGTTAGCTCCCTACCTTGGGTATTAAAATAAATTTAAACGTGTTTATAACGTTGTGCCGACGTTGGACTAGTACTATAGCAAAGTAGAAGCTTCTGCGACGTCGAATAAACGTTGTCTTCTAACCTTTTTTGCTTAAGTGATCTTTAGGTGATTCGAACAACGTAGTTACAATGTTGGACAATATAGAGTTGTCCGACGTCAGTTTCAGGACATATTCCAACGTTATGCAAACGTCGTCTGTTCTGAAATTCCAACGTTGTTTAGATTTCCTTATTCTTACGTTGGTAGTATGGAGTCTAAAAGCCCTCCATAGTTGGTAGGACGTCGAGTCACTACCTTTTTGCAACTGTATTGAACCATAACCTTAAATCTTAAATTTTCACTTCATTGTTCTGTTCAGTCAGACAGTTCAGTACTGTTTTTGTTTTTATAAAAAAATCTTAATTAAAATGGGACTCGAAAGGTACAAATAAAACTAAAGTTAAATATACATCGACATATATTACTGATAGTTTATCCACTCCCTCGTTTATTTAGATTATAGAGGGCGGCACAAGCTAGACTCTAGGATGACTAAATTAGGCAATCTTGCGACTAGTATACTACCTGTTAAGGCCTAACTGCCACTTTATTAGTCCAGTATGCGACTACTCGAACTACTCCATCTTAATCTCAAAAACAACAAAGTGAAAGCCGCCATGTTGTTAAATAAGAAAATGTTTCGTTCCTAAAATAGCAATTCCTGCTTTTTGAATACATTAACTTGAAATATTTTACCCTAAAAAACACGCGGAAACAATTTTTTCAACTGCGAATAAATTATTCTCATTTTACTAAAAAAAAATTGAAGAAAATTTTTAAAACTTAATTAATTTTAAGGCCCATTAGTATTTTTCAAAGTAGAAACAATACATTTATCAATAAAGTTGTTTGCGTTTAACTTTTTTGCCTTGTGTAACGAGTTACAGAGTTGGTTAAAGTGTTTCAATAATTATGATCTTCAAACATCCTCCACACTTAAATACTTTTGTTTTGTTTTCCTTCACTGCCATCTGACATATGTCTCTAACTAAATCATAAAAATAATATTTTTACTATAATTATCCCAATTTAGGATAAAACGCGACTTAGACGCCATATTAGTTTTGTATTTCTGTGAATTAGGACTTTAAACAACGTTGCAGTTTGTAATAAATTAGGCTTCTAGCCAACGTCGCCGTCGGTATCCAACATCGTTTCGACCCAAAAATTATTCTCCAAACTAGTGCAGACTAGGGTTGGCACGAGGTTGTGCCGAGGTTGCGCCCCGACGTTTGGTCGCGTGACACAACGTTGTCCCGACGTCCAAATGCTGCTTGGGATGTGCACTCCCCCGGAAGATCACAACAGTGCTATAAAAATCGGAGAAAAACTATTGGAATATGTGGCGGAATTCAATTACCTTGGCAGTTTGATTTCGGAAAAGACCAATATTGACTCTGAAATTCAGCACAGGATTAGTAGCGCCTCAAGAGCATTCTGGAAATTAAAAGACAGGGGTTTCTACTATCATGACTTGAGTACAAAAACCAAACTTGCAGTGTACCGAGCAATTATAATCCCCACCATGTTATATGGGAGTGAAACCTGGGTGCCGTACTGTCGACACATGAACGCATTAAACAAGTTGCAACAGAGACACCTTAGACAACTCTTAAGAATCCTGTGGTTCCATCATGTCTCAAACGTATCGGTAAGCTAACTGCGAGAGTATTGAAGTCATGGTTACAAAATCCTGCTTAATGTGGGCTGGTCACGTATGCAGAATTCAAGAAAACCGCATACCAAAATCTCTGCTTTACGGTGAGCTTGTAGACGGTAAGAGGAGGCCGGGTGGACAACTGAAAAGGTACAAGGACATTTTCCACAAAAACTTAAAGGGGATTAACATGCAGAATGAGTGGAAAAAAGCAGGTCACAATAGAACTCAATGGAGAGGAGTTGTAAACTCAGTTGACAGCGACAACGAAAAAGTAAAGAGGCAACAAAGCAACGAGATTTTTGAATATCCGGAGTGCGGTAGGCAGATAACATCACGTATCGGGCTTTTCAGTCACAGAAAAGCTCATGAAAGAAAACGTCTTGCGTGACCATCTTCTTTATGTGTGTCGAATACTCGTCAGCGAGTAATGGCTGTATGTATGTATGTATAATCACCATTAAATCTTAGTGCGATTCGAACCTCCTGAGTCTCAACATTTCTAAAACTAAAGCTTTGTCGTATAAAAACTGAACTTGTTACAAGGATACAGATACAAGGATGTTTTTTATGAAAACTTAAAAGGGATAAGTAGGTATGTAGCATCAGTGGAAGGAAGCAGCGCTCAATAGAACGCAATGGAGGAGAATTGTAAACTCAGTTAACAACGACAACCAAAAAGTAAAGAGGCAACAAAGTAATGAGATTTTTGAATGTCCGAGTGTGGAAGAGAGATAACATCACGCATCGGGCTTTTCAGTCACAGAAAAGCTCATGAAAGAAAACGCCTTGCGTAATCATCTTGTGATGCGTGTCAAATACTCGTCAGCGAGTAATGGCAGTAAATAAGCAATGGCTATATTTGCCTTTTCACAGATTTTTTCCATGCATCTGGAAATACTCCGGCGGACATGGACTGAATAGTATCCACTATTAGTTTACCTACTACTAGATGAATAGTGAGAGCTCACACTCGTTAGCTGTAACCTAGGCATGACACGTATCCAGGGCGACCTTGAGCGAAACCTTTTTTCTCGGCTCCTCCGCGCCGTGGTCCAAAGCGAGAGACCGTGCGTCTCCGAGTCGGTCGTCGCTCGCTCGCGAGCCGCCGCCTGCGAGGAGGAGGGAAATTCCGCCGTTGGCTTTCCCGCGACGGCGACGACGATCAATAAATCGCACACGGTCCGGCCAGGGAACGCGACGGCGCATCCGCGACCCGCCGCCGCGGCCGCCATTACTGCGCGACGTATCGAGCCGTCCGGTCGTGTGGTGGTGCCGCGCTCGACGCTCAGCAGCAGTCGGCGCCCGGTTGAACTGCATGCGGCATACCACATCCCGCTGCTGCTGCCCATCTGCACAGTATCCGTAGTACGCGCGTCCGAGTGTCGCAGCGGTACGCTCCGGTGTATGGTGTAAGAGACAGTGGCCTCGGATGATTTCGCACGCGCCTCTCGTAGGTAAGTCATCTCGATGTTGTCTGTCACACCACTACTAGAGAGAAGTTGTAAAAACGCTGAGTGGCCTCCAACTATTTTTCTTCGAAAAATTTCATAAGTACTGCAAATAAATATTGGTACAGTTGTCAGAAAATGACAGTGCAAGAACAGATGGTATTGCAATACTACAATATGCAACAATTAGTATGCGCTTGAGCATTGATTATAACAGATTTGTTGAATGGACCTAGATTATATGTCAACAATACTTCTTTTGATCGGCATTATCCTGATATATTGCTCATTTACAACATAATTATTATACTCTTTTATCCATTATTATTTGTCAATAGATTGGATTTTATATTTTGGTGTGTACTCTGTTTAATGGAAATACCTGTAATGATTTAACATACTTTTCGAAACTATTCCTCTAATAAATACTAGTTGTTTTGCGAGTAGTTTTCCAATTCTGAGACGAAAGAACGTGGGAAACTATAAAAAAGCATAAATTATTTTCCTTTGCCAATATCAAAAAGCGTTTGAGTCGATAAATCATTTGATTGTTGAATGGTACTCGATTACAAGTCCAAAAATTTAAAATGTAATCTGTTTAATATAGAATTTTGTACACTTAACAGCTGTTAATTTTTCATCGATATATTAGATAAAATATTGCGTTTTTATGAGACAATTGATAGAAGTTTTACTAGTAGATATATTATAGTATTTTATAAAATCTTACTGCATGTTGCATATCGGATTCAGCTTCTGTATACGATTGGTATATCAATAAGTCAGTAACTATGCTAAATATTTAACATTATAGTATAGTATTATCATTATGCAGATAAGATTGTTAACTTGTTTTAAACTTTGTCATATCAAAGATACTATTTTTTCAAGAGACAATTGCTGGAAGTTCTATTCTTTTTCTCGTATTTTTTACTGCATGTGATATTTTATATCCCGCTGCTGCTGCTCATCTGCACAGTATTCGTAGTACGCGCTTCCGAGTGTCGCAGCGGTACCAGCATTGTTACAAGGGCAAACATTTTTGTACTATAAATGGTGTCGAAATTGTACTTTCTTAAGTGGGATTGTACATTTTTCGTGGAAAAATGTGGGGTCATGTATAGTATCCTTGAGGGTGCATCAGAGGGGTGCATCCATATCCACATTATCCTAGAGAAAGAGGATCGGCGTAACGACCTTGAAACACTTTTCAGTGCATTCTATTGGCTGAAATTTTTGACAGATTAATTTTTCAGCCAATAGAATTACTGGAAATAGTTTCAAGGTCGTTACGCCGATACGCCGATCCGCTTTTTCAGGATAATGTGGATGGCACCCCTGACGTCATTCAAAGTCCAGTTGTCAACCGGCACGTTGGCATTATTTGAAATGGGGGCCGCTAGGAGTATGATCTGTATTAAACCCTCTGCTCCTAGCAACCTACATTTCAAATCCACGCATCGCGTATCACCCAGATCACCGTTCGTCTAAAAATATGTACGTGAGTTTAAGTTTGGGTTAGTTTGGGTTTGAGAAGTAAGAACTGTACATTTTTTCTTGCAATTGTACCTATGTACTCCTTGACTATCAAATGTACCCAAAATAGTACAATAAAATTGTACCTATTGTAACAACACTGAGCGGTACGCTCCGGTGTATGGTGTAAGAGACAGTGGCCTCGGATGATTTCGCACGCGCCTCTCGTAGGTAAGTCATCTCGATGTTGTCTGTTGCACCATTAGTGTGCGAACACAGTGCAAGCAGGTTTGCCGCTTACTGGTAGTCAGCGCCAATCTGGGCACCTATTCTTGACATCGTTCGCAACTTTGCGTATATGCATCACGTGTATTGTTGTAAACAGGGTATCCCAGATATAAGTGCAAGTAAAAAAGGGTGGTAGATCTCGATAAAAGAAACATATTTTCCCTATCGTTTTTCAATTAAGTCCAAAATAATGGAGTTATTTTACTTTGATAATTTCCAAAAAAAATATTTTTTGCTAAAATTTTGAGAACCTTCTTCTTCATGTGCCTTCTCCTCATCGGAGGTTGGCGACCATCAATTGGAATTTCTCCCTGTCTTGAGCCAAACGGATAATTGCATTGGCCTCTCCTATATTAAACCACTGGCGCAAATTCCGCAACCAGGAAAACCGTTTACACCCGATGCCTCGTCGTCCTTCAATCTTTCCCTCAACGATCAGCTGTAGGAAACTATATTTGTTATTTCGAAAAATATGACCAAAATATGCTGCTTTCCGTCGTTTTATTGTAGTCAATAGTTCTTGGTCCACACATTCTTTCCAATACTTCGAGATTTGTTTGAGAACCACTGGATCTTTTCTGGATTTTCTTTCTTGTAAATTTAATCTACTACCTATGTTGCCATATTATCAAGAAATTATTTTTTTTTAAATAAAAACTAAAAAAAATTGCAAAAAAATTCCAAAAATATTTTCAAAAAATTCCGAATGTTCAAAAAAAATTTATTTAGAAAAAAACCTCATAGGCGTGTTTCTGGGGTTGAACTATACTACCAGTTAAGTTAAAATACTTGCACGTATTTCTGGGACACCCTGTATATGGCAACATAGGTAGTAGATTAAATTTATAAGAAAGAAAATCCAGAAAAGATCCAGTGGTTCTCAAACAAATCTCGAAGTATTGGAAAGAATATGTAAGGACCAAGAACTATTGACTACAATAAAACGACGGAAAGCAGCATATTTTGGTCATATTTTTCGAAATAACAAATATAGTTTCCTACAGCTGATCGTTGAGGGAAAGATTGAAGGACGACGAGGCATCGGGCGTAAACAGTTTTCCTGCTTGCGGAATTTGCGCCAGTGGTTTAATATAGGAGAGGCAAGTGCAATTATCCGTTTGGCCAAAGAATATTATAGTTTTAAGAACTCTCGTGTGGAAGCTTTAGTGATTTGTCATACGGTGGCGCTTTTGAACATAATCGAAGCCTGAAAATGCTAATATTTTAAATTTTGAGGACTACGCGCGGCGATATTTCGTACGGTGTTGCCAAACATATTTTATTTCTCGATATTTAAAGAAAGTTCAACACGTATTGATTATATATTTCGTATATTCGATAGTACATGAGGCATCCTAAGGCTATGAAAAAAAAACGTAGCTATGAAAATAAAATTTTAGATTTTTAATTTTTTTGTACCTTCTAATAAAAATTACTTCTATTCCAATAAAAAATTAACTAGTATGATTATGTGTTATCTGTGTTAGTATTAGGAAACTGGAGTAAATACGGAGAATATTAATTCGTTCTCTAAGATGAGCACTACTAAGTAACTTTTTAAAATTCGACCCATAAGGGGGTGTTATTAGATAAAGGGACGTAATTATACATAAAAAATCTGTACCTACTAGGAGTATGAACTTTTGCACAGATGTGGCGCATTTGAACATTGATAAGCGATTTTTGGAAATGTATAGCCTAAGGGTAGTGAAACTGGGGGGTGAAATTTTGTACAAAAAGTGTTAGTTCTAGGAGTATGAAATTTTGTACAGAGTTTCCTTAAGTGACGAAAGTGAGTACCTAGAAAGTAATTTTGACATTCATCCCTTAGAAATAAAGGGATGAAAAATTTGTACAAAAAAGGTTAAAATCGGTTTTAGAAGTATGAATTTGCAGACGTTCCTTATGTAACGTAATTTAGCATTAAGAAGCAATTTTGGAAATTCGCCCTCTAAGGGTGTGAAATGAGGGGTTGAACGTTCTGGAACAATAAATTCTGTTCAAGGAATATGAGAATTTGCACAGAGGTTCCTTATGTAGCGTAATTGAATAATTAGAGTGATTTTTGGAATTCATTCCTTAAGGGGGTAAAACAAGGGGTGAAAATTTGTATAATTTTTTATGTAAAATCCGTTCTAGGACTAGGAGTATGAAATTCTGTTCAGAGGTCCCTTAAATGATGAAAGTGAGTACCTAGAAGCGAATTTTAGGCATGCATCCCCTGAAAAATAAGGGATGAAAATTTGTACAAAAATTAATCGTTATAAAGTTAAAATCGGTTGTAGAAGTATGAATTTTGCAGACGTTCCTTATGTAACGTAATTTAGCACTAAGAAGCAATTTTTGGAAATTCACCCTCTAAGGGTGTGAAATGAGGGGTTGAACGTTCTGGAACAATAAATTCTGTTCAAGGAATATGAGAATTTGCACAGAGGTTCCTTATGTAGCGTAATTGAATAATTAGAGTGATTTTTGGAATTCATTCCTTAAGGGGGTAAAACAAGGGGTAAAAATTTGTATAATTTTTTATGTAAAATCCGTTCTAGGACTAGGAGTATGCAATTTTGTACGGAGGTCCCTTAAGTGATGAAAGTGTGTACCCAGAAGAAAATTTTGGATATGCACCCCCTAAAAAATAAGCACTCCCTATAAAACAATTAAAATAAAAAATTTGTCTAAAAAATAAAAAAAAGTTGGGGTGGGCCACTCTTATCACTTAGGGGTATAAAAAATAGATAACAACCTAGGAATAGGTTGTGACCAAACCAAACCGGCCAAGCCGGCCAAAAATCGGCCAAGCCGTTTCGGAGATGGTATCAAAAAAACAACCCCTATTAGAAAATAGGGGATGATGGTAGAACGGTGAAAATTTAGAGTTGTTTGTATTTTTTAAGACCAAATAAAAAAAATATTTTTTTCTTCCAAAAATAAAAAAATGAGGGTGGGCTACAACCAAATAAAAAAAATATTTTTTTCTTCCAAAAATAAAAAAATGAGGGTGGGCTACCCTCTCGGCTACCCTTATCACTTAAGGGTATAAGAATAGATAACAACCTATTCTTAGACGTACTGAATATACATATAAAACTTTATCAAAATCGGTTAAGCCGTTTCGGAGATGGTAACAAAAAATCTTAAAAAACAACCCCTGTTAAAAAATAGGGGATGATGGTAGAACGGTGAAAATTTAGGGTTGTTTGTATTTTTTAATGCCAAATAAAAAAATTAAAATATTTTTTTTC